CGATAAACATAATGAACTGCCATATGACCATACCTCATCGTGATACTCAGCCTCAACGCTTTACCGCCTAACATACTGGTGACATGCCACGGCAGAAAGCTACAACACAAGCTAAAAACCTGCGTCAAAAGATCGCCAGCCAGAACTTTGGTTCAGGTCCACTTCGCTGTGCCACAATAACGTCATTTGACGCGGGGCGGCAGCCACCCCCCTGCATGCGACGGGTAGCGAAACAGGTTCAAGCTGCGGTGGCGCCAAAGGCCATGCATCATCGGGAGAACATGATCTGGGGTCCAACAGTCTAGAATTAGAGAGCTCTCTCGATACTACCATAGCTCCTCCGTCGAACCTAGCTCTCGACATCAATTGCAGTCGCGAGATCGCTATACGTACGGTTAAAATGACGAGCTTCATCTCAAACATCATCTGGAACTCGGTGGAGGGCTTCGTAGATGCCGGAAAGAAGACGGCGGGTGAATATGGTGGTAATGCCTTGATCAAGGCTGGGGATATGATTGAGAATAGTGGAAGGAGTGTGGGAAATGGTAAGCTCCTCTCTACCTAACTCCCATCATCCACATACCTCTCAAACACTCACTAACACGCGCCCAGGTCTCGAGAAGAAAGCAACAAGCTACGGCACCGCAATCACCGGCCAAACCTACAAACCCACAGCCAAAGCTCTCCCTTCCACAGCACGAAAGCCCGTAGTCAAGCGATCCAACTCGACCCCCGCGAGCAACAAGCCAACCACCAGTGGAACGCCTCTAGGCGCGAAGAAGTACCCAGGCAGTAACCAAGTGAACGGCGCTGTTGGAGGAGCAAAGAAAACTGTCGGAGGAACTGTTGGAGGAGTGAACAAAACCGTCGGAGGAGTAACAGGCAACGCATCCAAAGCCACCTCCGGCGTCATAGGCCGCGCAAACAGCACCGTCGGCAGCGTAACAAACACCACCACAAAAGCCACCTCCGGCCTCGTAGGCGGCAGTCAAAGAGCCATCGGCGGAGCCACAAAATCTATCCCTCCCTTCAAGAACCCCGGCGCAATTCCCTCAGCCAACAAAGCCCTTCCAAAGCCATTCCCAGATACCAACGGCCTCCCCAAACCCGCGTACCCGACGACCAAGAAGGCTGCAGTCAAGCCTGGCCAACCGAAGCCGTTTACACCGCCTACGGAGCAGAAGAAACCGGATCCGAAGAAAGCTTATCCTGGGACGAATACACTGCCCGGAACGAGTCGGACGCCGGTGCAACAGCAGAGGTTGAAGCCGTTGCCGAAGGCGGCGCCGCAGATTGGGCAGGGGCAGACTATGTCGCATCTTGCTATTTAGGAAGGAGAGAAGCGGGGGGGGTTTTGGCTTTGGAATGGGGGTGATGCGGCGTTGAGGTGTGGGGGTTTTGGGTGTAAGATTAGGATATGGTGTGTTGGAATTTTATTTGGATGGATATACGAATTGGGTTTTGTTAGCTGCTTCATCCAGTTTAGTATGATAATGGCCGTGTATTGTTTGAGTGTACTCAGAAGATGCGCGATTAATCTGGGAATTTGGTGTGCCTAATGAGATGTTCTTGACGTTTTTTTCTTCTCCGGTCTATTCAATGCTGTGCTACAATCAGCATAGATACTAGACTTGTTTGAGACGGCTCTCTAGCACGCAGCGCATTTGAAGTCTAGGCGAGCTCGGAAAGATTACGGAGACCAGAAAGCGCAGAAGAGTTGGACGGCTAAGGAACTGCGTATGGGCTAGGAGAGGACATGTAGACTTTGGTATCGTGGTAGGCATTTGGTTTCCGTTGGAATGGCATTTGATGTGTATCTCGGAAACAAGTACGAGGATGAGTTCTTGATGCTGGTGATATTGGTTTGGATGATATCGCATTGCGAATTTCGAGATTCTAAGCTATGGATATAGTCCCCGACGGCTTTTATTCATCATCGCTTTCGCCATCACCTGATGGGATAGTTCAGACATCGTTTCTGTCGTTGGTATTGCGGGAATTATGAGTGACTCGTGATTATCCGTCGCCCCGGTACCATGGGATGAATGAGCGGGCGCAATGTCGTTGGTTGATCGTGAGTAGCGTTGGTGATGCTGATGATTGATCGATAGGTATCCACATAGGTAGGTAGTAGGTACGTACATGTGGACGGGTACTTCGCATGACTGCAGCACCCCACTCGAGGGGAAAATGAAAGCCTCGAGAGCCATTTCGTACGGAGGATAATTGAGATTACGTGGAAGCCTACCTCATCTTAGGACTTTATTATCTTTCTCTAGTTGAGTCGATGTATCCTGCAAAGCACCCGTTCAGTTCTCTCTTGTGCGAGGCGGCATCTTTATGACGTTATCACCACCATAATGTTCAGCCTCAAAGACAAACACAAGGGTGAAGGTAGCAGTCTGAACTCTACTTCGTTGAGAATTTCGGCCGGTCTGCGGTGCGCGGGCCTAATTCCGTTCCGTCCACGATGTACATCCCCCAATGTCGATCTCCCCGCCCCAGCCCCACCCCATCACACTTTATCCCCAACACAGCGCATCAGACCGCCTATCATGAAGCTTCGGGGTGGAGTCGTACCGATCTCGGCATTTGGTTAAGCTTCGGCATGAGTCTTGGAGTGCTTAATATGCTCGCCTCCCCTGCTGCGCTCCCGCGCGCTGCCGTTCTTGCTTTACTACACCTTTTTTTTTGAGACCGTGCGCCGATTAAGATGCGTTTCTTCACCTCGAAAGACCCGGAGAGCGTGGACCAGAATGAAGAGAAGAAGGTTGAGATGATGAAAGATGGAGATGGCGATGCAGAAGCTGGGCCAGCTGCACGGGTGGAAGACGAGATTGACCCGGTGATCGAGAAGCGCGTGCGACGGAAATTGGACACCCATATCGTTCCTTTGCTATCGGCACTGTATCTGCTGGCATTTCTCGACCGTTCAAATATTGGGTATGGAAAACATCTCCACGATGGAGAGCGTGGCTAACGTGGCTATCAGCAACGCGCGAATCGCCGGCATGGAAGAAGATCTTGACCTGAGTAGTTCGCAGTACCAGTGGCTACTTACCATATTTTACATCTCGTACATCGTCTTCGGATTCCTCGCGATCATGTGGAAAGTCGTACCACCGCATATTTGGGCCGCGGGCTGCGTCTTCGTCTGGGGCCTCGTTTCGACCGTACAAGCTGCGACAACTTCATGGGGAGGGATGATGGCACTGCGGTTTCTCATGGGAGCTGCAGAGATAGCATATGGGCCAGGCGTGCCATTTCTGCTTTCGTTCTTCTACCTGAGGCATGAACTTGGGCTTAGGTGTGGGTTGTTCCTATCGGCTGCACCGCTAGCCAACACCTTTGCAGGTGCTCTAGCGTATGGAATTACGAGCGGTAACCCCGGAATGGCGAAATGGCGCGTGCTGTTCTTGGTAGAAGGTTTGCCTACAGTCGTTATGGCTGCAGTTGCGTTCTTTTTCCTACCAGACAGTCCTGAAAAAGCGAAGTTCCTGAATGAAGAGGAAAAGGCGGTTGCGAGAGCTCGTGGTGTGGCACAGGCTGGCGCTGGAACAAGAATTGGAGCTATCAACTGGAAAGAGATGTTGGAGGGACTGATGGATCTAAAAGGCTGGATACTCGGTGTAAGTCTGACAGCGCGATGTCGTGGTACTTAACTGACCTGAATAACAGCTCATGTACTTCTCCGGGAACGTTGCATTCTCGTCGCTACCGGTGTTCCTCCCGACGATCCTCAACGAAATGGGGTTCTCGAAGGTTAATGCGCAGGGCCTTACAGCACCGCCATTCTTCTTATCCTTCCTCACAGTGATCGCCACATGCTACATCGCAGATCGGACGCAACAGCGAGGTATCATGATCGCTATCCTCACGGCCATAGGAGGGATTGGCTATGTCATCCTGGCCACCACGAAGAGCGTAGGAGCGAGATATTTCGGAGTCTTTCTGGCTGCTGCTGGTATTTTCCCAGCTATAGGCAATGTACTGCCTTGGGTCACGAACAACCAAGGCAGTGATACTCGGAGGGGTACAGGAATAGTCATCCTGAACTTGATCGGTCAATGCGGACCTCTGCTGGGGACCCGATTGTATCCCACATCAGAAGGGCCACTATACGTCAAAGGCCAGTCTGTATGTGCTGGGTTCATGTTTCTGTTCTGCTTGCTTTCTCTCCTGCTGAGGACAATTCTCGCGTGGGAGAACAAGAAGTTGGATCGCAAGTACGGGACATTGGCGCAGCAAAGGGAAACCGGTGGGAGCAAGAGGGAACTAGGCGAAAACTATGGCCCGAGATTTCGCTACGTTTTGTAGGTGTAGAGCTACCAATGACAAAACAAGCTGTTATCGCACTGCAGTGCCACTCGATATGCAGCTTGACGCGGGGTATGCTGAGGCCAGAGAGATACCGAAGTATGGAATTGTTTGATCGGCTTGTCGAGAAGTGTTCCTTGCTCTTTCTAATCTATTGATGACTAGTGACGCACGGAATTACCATTAGAGGTCGGGGTAGTGAAAACAAGCGTAATAGCGCCAAATCAAGTGCTAGGGCGAAGCAATGGCGCATGCAGGATTGCCATGTTCCCGAATCGGCAATTGACCACGCGACAGCCGTTGCTCAGAACAGCCACCAACGTGTACAAACCAGTCGTCGCACTGACATGCAGCTTGCAGGGCATTATCGCGGAGATGGCGACAGAGATGGGGTTGCTGGCAGCAGTGTGCGCGAGATCCACCGGATGGTTCACACATGCGAACTGCAAAGCTGGAGAGGCTAGACCCCCCGGGCGGGCCCACACTTCCAGGGCACGGACACCGAGTAACGTCACTGGTAGATTCAGGACCAGATTCGCAGCAAATCCACACTCAGCACTTCCAACGCGCTTTTTCACCCACTCTCCTGCGTGTCTACTTATCAGTGGCCCATCATTGCTGCACACCCCCGTCACACAGCATTAACACTGCAATTGTTATCTTGATCCACGCGCCTTCCCGTAATGGCCTCAAATCCGTCTGGCCCTGCTGGCCTCGACGCCGGCACTGCTGCCACCTCCAGCGGCCCTTCGTATGCGGCAACTGCAGCCGCTCCACCCAAGAAAAAGAAGACGCATCGCGGTGGTAAGAAGCGCAAAAACAGGAGACAGAGTTTTGCAGCTGGAGCCGATCTCGCGCAAGGCGACTCCATGATGGAGGAGCGCCCGAGTCTGGCCAATGTCGCTAGCCATGGGCAGTCGCGAGGGAGCAACGGTTTCTACCGCACCCACAGCAACCTCAGCAACACAAGCCTCGAGAGCGAGGCTCTGCTGGACCACCGCGAGCAGCCTACCATCCGGACGCGTCGTCCCAGTGTGCCTGTAACGTCCATGTACCAGCCGAGGGCAAGTCAGCCCAGCGTCAGCACGCCCCAGCGGCTTCAAGCCGCAAACTCCTACGGCCGCTCACGCCTTTCGCACACTCCCGAGGAGAACTACAGTGATGGCGAAGACGATGCGGATGATAGAACGCCACTCATGGCTTCTTCTCAACGCGACATCAGGACATCCACTAGCTATGGCTCCAACAACGGCAAGCCTCGCCGAGGAAGCAAGAACTCCGCAAAGAGCTTCAAGCATATGCCCATGCCTGAACACAGGCCGGATCTGTTCACCCAACACCACCACTCTACAACCAACCTCGACGACTACGACGTAAACAACCCCCCATCCGTACCTACGAGCCCAGCTTTCGAGGCTAGCAGCGGTCTAGACGATGTCATGCTTCCCACAGACTTGGACCACCTGTCCGACCCAGGAAGGTCTAACAGTGCATCTCGAGATGCACTCATCAACATCGATGAGGACGCCCATTCAGGCACTCCACCTACTCCGGGCGACTTCACGCGCCGCATGACCGGTTCTGCGCTTGAAGATGTCTGCTTCCCCCACGAGGACATGTCTGAGATGGGACACGAAGATTACATGAACGCCCCCACAACCGGTGAGCCTACCACTCGCCGAAGACGCCGCCGCTGGCCCGATCTCGGCGTTCTACAAGCTTGGGCGCACGAGGAGAAGGAACAACGGACTATTGAAGGCATGCGCATGCGCAAGGTTAGCGAACCGCTCATGGTTGAAGGACGCCTCCGTCCGAAACGACGCGTCTGGCATCGCGAAGACAGCGACGCTCCCTATCGCTTCACGTACTTCAACGAGACGTTCGACAACACCATTCACAGCCAGAGCATCAGCGAACTCTTGCAACCTGGGCAGAGCTTCAGAAATCTCTTCGTTCCTGATCCACCGATCCTGGACGACGACAGCGATTCTTCCGACACAGAAGATGACATGCTGCATGCTGGCCCCAACGGCGGCTACTCCTCACGCACAACAACGCGTTCGACTTCGAAGGCCGAGGGCAAGTACTCTTCTGGAGAACAGACGCGCTCAACAACCCCGCGTCCAACGGATGCAGGAAAACCCGACAAGCCCAATGGCGAAAAGCCGAAGCGGTTTGGCCCACGGCCTGCCTGGTGGTTGGATGTCATGTCCCCCACGGAGACTGAGATGAAGGTCATTTCTAAGACGTTTGGCATACATCCATTGACCTCGGAAGACATCCTCATGCAAGAGCAACGCGAAAAGGTCGAGCTGTTCAAGCACTACTACTTCATCAACTACCGTACTTTTGAGCAAGATGAGAATAGCGAGGATTATCTAGAGCCCGTCAACTTGTATGTTGTTGTGTTCAGAGAAGGCGTAATAAGCTTCCACTTCTCTATGACACCACATCCTGCCAACGTCCGCCGCCGTATTCGCCAACTTTCTGACTACCTTGTCCTGTCACCTGACTGGATCTCGTATGCCATCATTGACGATGTCACCGATGCATACGCGCCCATGATCCAGAAGATTGAAGAAGAGGTTGATGATATCGACGAGGCTATACTGCGACTCCATTCCAGCGAAGAAGAACAAGAAGCGGAGAAGGAGAAGTCATACAGCTACAACAACCCACACTACAAAGAGCCTCCCGAAATCAAGTCGCAGCAAGAAACCGGCCGAGACATGTTGCGACGTGTGGGTGAATGCAGAAAGAAGGTTATGAGCCTCTACCGCTTGTTGGGCAACAAGGCCGATGTCATCAAGGGTTTCGCGAAGCGATGCAACGAGCAGTGGGACATCGCCCCTCGCAACGAGATTGGCATGTATCTTGGAGATATCCAGGATCACATTGTCACCATGACAGGCAACCTGAGTCATTACGAGAAGTAAGTTAATCCCGGCACTACTATAGATCACGAACTAATCAGCTCTTCAGTCTCCTATCTCGTGCTCACAGCAACTACCTTGCCCAGATCAACATCAGGATGAACGAACGTCAAGAGAAGACGTCTGATATTCTTGGCAAGCTTACTGTGCTCGGAACGATCGTTCTGCCAATGAACGTTGTGACCGGTATCTGGGGTATGAACTGGTGAGTCAAGACCTCAACCCTGATCGAACGATAAGCTAACCAAACGCAGTCTTGTCCCTGGCCAAGACATCGAGAACCTCAACTGGTTCTGGTGCATTACTGGAGGCCTCATCACCTTCGGCCTTATGTGCTACTTCATTGCGAAGAGGGTGTACGGCATCGTTTGATCACACTATGAGAAAAGTATAGACTGCCATTTGGTTGGAAGAACACATTGTATCGCGCGGCGTTGGTGGTCGGGTTTCGCTCGCGTTGAGTCGTCCCTGGTTTGAGTTGGACCAAGACAGTACACATGTTTGCTTTTGTACCACTACTACATATCGGAGTCAGGCTTGTCGTTTGACTAATTAATGACAGTTGTTTGATTTCCAACCGTCAGTGTGCTCTGCTGACCCGCTTTCGTATGTTATTTCCTCACAGTGATACCGATGTCCGCGCAGTCATCTGGCCCCCAGTGTCGCCCCTCTTTGAAACACAGACGGGAGGCCACGTACAGTGAGTGTTATCGCCCAGCCGTGTTTACCGGCAGCTATGCGTCTCCGGTGAGCGAGAGAGAAAAGTGGGGATCTGCCGGGAGGTGGCTTCGTTTCATACAGTCACTCCAGGTGGTGAGTCGTTGAGAAGCTGAGACATGTCCAATAGCAAGAATGTGGCTTGTTTCGGCAGTGATGTGGTCACTATGGGAGGACAGATCTACTGGACTAAGAGGCAGAGTCTCACGGCGCGGGTCGTGGGAAGGATGCAGATGGTAGTGAGGGTGTGCACTGGGTTCTTAAGGCAGTGCTTTGGACGTCTGCATGGTGCAGCCTGTTGGATGTTGTCCCGATCTTCACAGTACTCTGATGCACGCCTCAATCGATCGAAGTAGGTCAGACACAGTGCGCTCCCTTGCAGCGAGGGTCTGGCTTGTAGCATGCACGCCCGCGATGTGTTCAGTACGTTGGGTAGGTGCTGCTCCGTCACGATGCAAAGGTCCCGGCGAGTTCACGGTCGTGGAAAAACTCTTCAACGGTCTCATCGATGTACTTTTCTGTCGATCGCGTCAAGAACATGCTTCTTGCGAGGCGTTCTATGCGAGGTGGGCAGGGTGACCCTGGGAGTATTGGGTTGCTTCACTTTTGGGCTTTGCGTGCGGTGACGCAGGAAGGTTCTTGTCTTGCAGCTTGGTGCCAGGTTGGGCCCAAGTTCCATCTTCGCCGCTGTGCCGTTGATGGAGTCACCAGGCAGCCGGCAGCGATGGGGAAGGGGCAGTCAGCGGCGTGAGTCGTTGTCAGCCGCAGAAGCACCGTCCACATGCTCGAGCGCTCACCGCATGCGGGGCTATGCGCATAGGTGATGGCGCAATGTCCGGTGAGTTCTTGGTGCCCACAAAAAGAAACTTCTAGCGAATGTGACAGCTTGCAGGTAATGGTTCGCATAATGTGCGATGCGCGCGCTCCCGTCGTGGCTCGATGTAGGGCTGCGACGGCGCGGTGTGCCCATCTTGTCTGCGAAGAGGGTACTAAGGTAAGGCAGACAGACTGCGCGCAGACAGGCACTGCCCGACGGCGCCCGTATGTATTTAGTCACTGGAGTCGCGGTGTTGAAACACATGGTCCAGCGTGCGGTCGGTTGAGGTGGTGCGATTGGTTTGACGTCATCGGCCTCAGGGTACCTCTTGCCTTCTGGGCAGGCCAGAATCAAGTCTTCTGACGGGTCCGCTATTCCTGACACTTGACGTCGTCTGCCCTACTCGCGTTCACCCTCTTATTACCCCACCTCGTTTGCTATCGCAGTCCGCCAGTATTGCGCATCCCCAACGATAGTGAGCGTGTTGATCAACACTCTCGCCAATCACCCAGCCCCGCCCGCTCGCGATCGACGCCTGCGAGTACCCGCCCTCGCTCAGCCGTTCACAGTCACGCCTAGCAGCGAGTCACCACGACTGGCTACGTAGGCGAGCACCCGCCGCCAGAGTCTACAAACATCCCCTATCCTCTGCTCCCCTCCTGCATTGCATTTGCATTGCGCGCACTTCCGAGCCACTGCAACTTGCCCCTCCACTTCTCTTTCCACGACTCCACGCCGCACCATGTCGGTCATCTACAAAAGGAGCGAGCGCGACCGCGAGTGGGACACTACGTCCACGCGCACTGGTGCCACTGGCTACACCACGGTGCGGCGCTACAAGGTGCCCGACCACAGCCTCGAGGAAGACACGTACGAGACCGAGATGCGCATGGTCCACCGTGGGCGCGACGACTTCGACGACCGTCGCTCCGTCAAGGACTATCATATCGAGCGCCATGAAGCGCCCGCTCCCCAACGAGAAGTGAGACACTACCACTACGCCGAGCGTGAGCGCGAAGTTTCGCCCGTTCGTTCCGAGTATCGCATCCAGCGCGAATACGAGCGCTCCCCCTCACCTGCGCGCACCGAGATCCGCATCTCCCGGGACTACGACCGCGAGCGCGAGATCTTCCCGCGGGAGCAGCCCTACGAGTTGGAGAAGTACTCGAGGTCTACTGAGTATTTCCGCCCTGAGCCGCTGCCCCAACCCCCACCACCCCAGCCCCAGTCCATCTACATCCGCAATGAGGCCCCCCAGCCCCAGCAGATGCCACCCATGCAGATGCAGATGCAGCCTATTATTATCCGGGAGGAAGCCCCTCAACCCATCATCATCCGCGAGCGCGTCCAAGAGCCCTCCTACGAGCTTGTTGAACGTACTGAAGAAGACAGACAGGTTGCTCGTCCGCAGCGCCACGAGGAAGATTACTACTACGAGCGCAGAGTGAAGGAGATCGATCGCGGCGGTCGCTACGATGAGCGATACGCCGACGAGCGTGAATACGACCACCGGTGGGGAGATAAGAACTACTATAGCGACGACGACATCTACATCCACAAGGAGAAGGATACCTGGGGCGGAAGCGAGACCCGCACCAAGCGTGATGTTGCAGCAGGTGCTCTTGCCGGAGTTGCTGCAGGACAGATCATCAGACATCACCGCAAGAGAAAGGGTGAAGCTGCTGGAGGCAACATTGGCAATGCTCTTGGCTACGGCACGCTCGGTGCTGTGAGTGCCGTGGCTCTCGATCGATTTAACAACCGTGATAGATCTCGGTCTGTTTCTTCTGACCGTGGCAGGGGCAGCCGGCGTGCCAAATCTCGCCACCGCAGCAAGTCGAGGGTGAAGGAGCTGGGCACGCTTGCCGCCCTCGCCGGTGTCGGAGCTCTCGCCTACGCTGCTGGACAAAGGAACAAGAACAAGGTGGTCAAAGAGGAGACGGTTACGGTCATAGAAGATCGGCACCGAAGCAGATCACGTCATGGTGGCAGATCGCGTTCTAGGAAGAGCCGAAGAAGATCCAGGTCCGCCTCAGTGGCTGATGACAGGGGTAGGTCTCGTAGCACGAGCAAACACCTAGACCCTGAGCATCGCAACAACAGAGCAGCGCAAGTTGGCCTTGCCTCTGCTGCTGTAGCCGGTCTTGCGGCACGCAGCCGTAGCAAGTCTCGAAAGCGCAAGGGCAAGCGCTCACCTAGCCGGATCCGACAGGGTGTGCCAATCGCTGCCGCTGGCGTTGCCGGCGCAGCTGTCACTGGACTTTATGAGAAACGCAAGGCTAAGAAGGAGGCTAGGGCGGCATCGCGGTCCAAGTCAAGGTCGCGCTCAAGGTCCAGGTCAGTCCTCTCCCGCCTCACCGGACGCAACCGCAGCAGACGTGGAAGTACAGTGAGTGAACCTGTTTTAGTAGAGTACGGCGATGATCCGGTGTACACCGATCGTGCCAGTAGTCGCAGTCGAAGCCGGGACCGCAGCCGCGCGCACCGTAGACGCCGAGGAAGCTCTTCTTCCTCTGGTGGTCGACGTGGAAGTCGGAGCCGGAGCCGCAGCAAGAGTCGATCACGAAAGGTCGCGGAGACGGCGGCGGTTGCCGGTGTAGCTGGTCTGGCTGCCCATGAAGCAGCGAAGCGGCGCGACCGTAAGAAGGCCGAAAAGGAAGCCGAACGACGACGTGAGTCCACCCCACGCCCACACCGCAATTAGCATACTCAACATCACCAGGCGAGGAGGATTCAGCCTACTCCACAGGCACCTACAGCCCCTACGATAGTCCCACTCCCACCACTGTGTCCACTGCCTCCACTGCTCATCCTAACGACTCTCGCTACTTCCCTGAGACGAACTACTTTCCCCCTCCCCCTAGTGCTCCAGTAGACCCCAACCCCAACCTCAATTTCAATCCCAACACCAACAATCCTTATCCTCCGTATAACCCAGCAGACTTCCCTCCGCCTCCCCAGAGCGCATACGAGCCAAACCATCCCTCACATTTCGTCAACCCACCACACGACGACTTGCACCTTGGCAACCCATATGCACCCCAGCACCAGCAACAACACGAACCCTATTACGGCCAGCCACGACGTGGGGGTGACAATGTGAGTGCTCCAGTCCCTGATGGCGGTAAAGAGCACCATAACTTTGCGTCTTCACGTGGTGGGTGGAGGCCGCTGCCTGCCCATGAATCTGAACAATTCGCTAATACCAAAACAGGGCCCGTAGACGAACCGCCTAGCCCGAGTCCGTCCCCGGAAGAAGACAAGAGCGTCCATTTCGACCCGATCCCACAAGAACGAGAGATACCCTCCCGATCGGCCTCACGATCACGGGAGTCTTCATCCGATTCCGATTCCGAAAGGCAACACAGACATCGAGACGACCACAGTCACAAGCGACACAGGCGACGCAGGGATGACGAACGATCGGATGCTACAAGAGAGTCCGGCAGGGCCCGCAAAAGGCGTCATCGATCCGAAAGTCCCGGGTCAGATACCTCTGATGCTACCATTGAACTGCCACCGCGCTTCGACGAGAAGGGGCGGCAGCAGCCTGAGGACCCACTGGCGGAGAAGTTGGAGAGTATTCTGCAAAACATCTTTCGATAGCGTCTCTTGCTTTGTTGATTCTCTCTTTCCTTTCGCATGTTTCTTTTTCTTTTACAGAGGCACTTGATACATGTTTCTTGGAGTTTCTTTACTGTGTTTGGGCGTTTCGAGATGGGTTGGATCATGAGAACGAAGTTACGATATCACTGCATTGAGTTGTATTCCTGTAATTATGCGTAATACTTTCTCCTTCGTACACTCTATTATGAATGTTATGTTTTTAATGTTTGCAAGACTACCTCGATTGCCTATGTGCCATCGTGACTACCTGCCTTGGGAGACTGCGAAAACAGAGATGAAGGTGGCCATGGGTCGCACCTTCCTTGTTACACCTCAGGGTCGCCGCGGCTGCTCCTGCTGTAGACGTCCCAGCTTGGCACATCGATAAACTTCACCATCACCCTCACTCCCTCCTCTCTTTAACCACACCTTCCCCCCGCTGCCGCATCGATCCCTCACATCCCTTCGCACCTGTTTCGCTCAATTCTCAACAACATGATTGCGCCACGCTGCTTCTCGGTCTATGCCGCGCTACTGACGGTTCTCGCAACAGCAGCACTTTCTGCTACTGCTGACTCGCCCTTTCCGTGCACCGGGTGAGCTGTGGAATCATCTTTTGCAAGGCTACCAAAGCTAATGCGCGCAGTGGTTCCATCTACTTCACCGGCCATACAGTCGATGGCCTGCTCTTCCAGAACCCAGATCTATACCACGACCTATATGTTTTCAAATGCGTCACTACGGTCGTCTTCGCAGCGGACAGCGGTGGTGAAGTAGCCAACAACACTCGTGTTCGAGAGCTTGAGCGCGGCCTTGAAGATGCCTACAAGTTCATGTCCGACGTGGCTTCGGTCAGGCCGGATGGCACGCAGTCCATCTCTTCTTCGAACGAGGAAGCGCCACGTAAGGCGCCACAAGAGACCCTCATACTGCACAACGAGACTAACCAGTATACCACAGTTGCCAACGAGACCACGGTCCAGATCGGCAAGCACACTATCGTCTCTTCTTCTCTCCTCGGCCTATCGAATGCACAGATCCTCTACCTTCGTCTGCCAGACAGTACATACTTCGGGGAAGGATACAAAGCATACGGCGAAGAGTCCCTGAAGAAACTGTACAGCGCAGACATATCGGAGATTACCACTACCGACGGCAAGGCCACGTACACGATCGACGATCTGAAGGACATCATCGCGACCATTCTTCGCGATCGCCGAGCCAACCAAATTCGCGTGATGAACTACCAGTCGGCTCTTTCTACGGACAATGACGATGATCAGCTCGATCATGCTGACCGAATCGTCTCTGCTAAGCTTGTGATGGATGTCGTGGAAGAGGAGGAGATCGGTGGGAATGTCACCGCGTAAGTTTGGGATCACGGTCTCTTGATGATGTGCATGCTAACGATGTCAGATATGCATGCGACTCAATGCGTATCCTGTCAACCAACAACCTCGAAACCCCGGACTACATCAAGAAGGTCGATGCATTCTTTGAGTATGCTAAGCGTGATCCCGACATGGTAAGTTGAAGTCCTATGTACATGATAGTAGTTCACTGCTAACTAAATTCAGTGCCAGAGTCTTGATGAATGTGGTCAGCGGCGTCAGAATATCAAAGATCCCTCCAAGGTCAAGTATAACGAGGTTGATCACGTCGCCAACTTCCTGAAGCGGGAGTACTACATCCGGATAGATACTGATGCCCGATACGGGAACATGTACTAGTATGGAATCTAGCCAGGGACGATATGAGGAACTTTCCTCCATGATGGAAAGAACATTGTGGTGGATTGTGAGATACTACATAGGATAGATACCACAAAAGGAATGAAGTAATAGTCCCACTCACTGCGCCCTCAACACCTCCAATGCAAAACAAAAAAAGCTCAAGCCTCATCCTTCTTCCAGCCCGTCTTCCGTTTAGTGTCAAATTCAGACGGACTCAGCCTCCGTGCAGTGGGCTCTTGCCCAGGAGACCTCGGCGGCGAAACATCCTTCTTCTCCTCCTCTTCTGGTTCCCAAGCCCTCCGCTTCTCCAACTTTGCCTTCAAAACAGGATCCATACCATCCGTGCCCGATGGCTTGCGCTGCGGCACGGGCGGCGGCGGCTTCCTGCTCTCGCTCGTCCTCCTCAATCCAGCCCTCGAGTCCATAGCGACGGGCATGACAGGCGGGATCTGGCCCCTTACCTCCCTCACGACAGGGACATCAGAAGCCGCGATGGCGCCGCCGAGACGCGCGAATGGTGCTGGGCTTGTGGGTGACATGGGTATGCCTGAGGTTGATGGCGTTCCGGGGATCTCTTGCGAGGGGTGCATGGGGGCACGACGATTGCCTAGCATCATGTGACCATACGTTTGGTCGCCAACAGCGGGGAGAGAGTAGTTGATTTCTTTTGGTGCGGGCTTGGGTGCTGGAGGGGGGCGGGGTGCTGATTTGTTGACGGTGGGTTTGGGGGCGGGGGCTGGGGGCGCGGGGGGTGTGGCGGGCGGTGATGGTGGTGCGGCGGTCCTTGATCGGAGCTGTGGGGGGTGTGAGGTTAGCTGCTGCTGTGGACGGGGATAACATTTGAACTTACTAGTTCCTCTCGGTACTTCTTCTCCTGCTCCCATCTTTCAGACTCCCTCAGAGCTCGCTGCTCCTCTTCCTCCTTTTCTCTCTTCTTCCGGTCCGCTTCTTCTCTGGACTTTTGAATCATCAAATCCAGATCCCGTTGTTCCTTGGCCAGTCGGTCGAGCTCCGCCTTTCTCTGCCTTTCGATCTCCTTTGCTTGTGCTTCCTCTTCTGCCAATCTCTTCTCATGCTCCCGCCGGCGTCGCTCAATGTCCTCTGCCATCTTCTTGTCATGCTCTGCCATCTTCTTCTCATGCTCTCTGCGTTTTCTTTCCATTTCCTGTTCCTTTTCAGCCAGCTCTCTCTCTTGGTCCCTAAGTCTTCTCGCAATGGCTTCTTCATCGGCTTCTTTCTTGGCCTGCCGCCGCCTTTCTTCCGCCTCCCTAAGGTCTCTCTCCCTAGCTTCCTCGTCGTCCCGTCGTCTTTGCTCCACTTCCCGGCGGCGCTTCTCCATAGCTTCTTCGTCGGCTTTTTGTCTCGCCCGACGTCGTTGTTCTTCTTCCCGGCGGCGTTTCTCCGTAGCTTCTTCTTCGGCCCTCTGATCCGCTCGGCGTCTTTCTTCGGCCTCCCTGCGACTTCTCTCCTTGGCCTCTTCGTCAGCTCGCTGCTTTCTGTCCGCTTCCCGGCGGGCTCTGTCCCTGGCTTCGTCGTCGGCTTTTTGCTGAGCCCGTCGTCTTTCTTCCGCCTCCCGGCGGTTCTTCTCTTTCAGTTCTTCCTGCCCACGTCGGAATGCTTCTGCGGCTTCTTCGTTTTCTCGGCGTTTGTGTTCTCTTTCTTTTTCCAAGTCACGGCGCATGGCGGCTTCTTCGTTGTCGCGGAGACATCTATTGCAAATCCCGTTTTGGTCTCTGGTTTTTACGGTGCAGCGATCTTTTGTCCTCGCATTGTCACGGTCACAGGGTACTCTGGTCCTATCGTAGTAGGGGCAGTTGAGAGTGACGACATGATCATCCAGCTTGTGGCCGCATTCGAGTATCGTGATTGTGTACTTGCACATGCTGGGCGAATAAGTGGGTGAGCCACGAGACGAACGTGAGTGTAGGTCGGCAGCGTAGTAGTGGGGGTAGAGCGAAGGGATGTTGAAGAAGACCAGGAAGTGCTATGATAGTAGCAGTAGATACTTATATGGCGTAGATGTTGACCGCCCCCTTGTACTAGTGAAGTGCTGCATGAGTGATGTACACGTACACGTAGTGGCATCATATGACTCTGAAACATGGCTGGAAGAAGCGGCCGGTGTTGTAAGCCTGTGAAGATACCGAATTGACAGTGCAAACATTAGTACAACTCATCAAACGGCAAGCCAGCCTGCGTCCGCGCAGAGCGCCGTCAATGAGGCGAACAGCGGCCGATTGGTCAGACACCATGGCTAGGGTATCTTTCCACCTACGGCGGCACAGAGGGAAGAATCCTATGCGTCTCTCAGTCCACCGACTGCTACTCCTAAGAATGCAATGTCGCGAGGTGCCCCCAGCGTGTGTGTTAGCAGACCCACAGTTCCATCAGACGTGGTTGACCGCCGTAGGCGCATTCCACGAGCACCGATGCGGCTCTGTACCGAGCCATTTTTTGCGCAGAAACTAATACGGGACGTTGCCAACAAAGGAATCCGCAGGCTAGACTGCCGCGGATGCCAGAGAAAAATGAAGCTTCCGCAGTGCGCAGCAGCGTCGAAACGCACGAGGACGGTGTCGGTGGGGATAGCTACGTGGCGGCCTCGACTGTACTGGGCATGGCTCGCTGCAGCAAAGGCGGTAATGTGTTTCAAGCAGCGAAGTCGTGGATCCATGTAGCTACGGGAGAACGGCGATCAGGTAATGCCATCGATCACGCAACACGAAGCGATGCTTGGGATGACCTGAACTATGCGGAGAAGGAGTGAGGAAGCGTCGAAGGTACAATGGAGTGGAGATGTTGGATGTGGCCAATCAGAGGCGGCTGATTGCAATGACCCCTGCACATTTACTTGGCGCTTCGGACGAGCTTCATCGTTGACATCTTCAATCGACGCCATCGCCTCCAGCCCGCAGCACAACCCACCATGGCCTCAAGACTCGTCCCCCTCGCATGCAGGATTGCCCCACGGGCCTCGCGACAGTTCCAGAGGGCTCAATGGCGGGCTTTCAGCGTTTCGCGACCGTCATGGAACGAGAGCGGCTCGCTCAACGTCGTATGTAATTCATTCATCTTGCGCTGGAAGCCGAGCTAATACGTCTGTAGCACCGCGACACGCCTCAAAACAACCTCAAAATTCCCTTCAAGTTTACACCACAAAATGAGGAACTCATCCAAGAGATCGTCTCTCGATACCCCTCCCAATACAAGAAGGCCGCCGTCATGCCGCTCCTCGACCTCGGACAACGCCAGCACGGATTCTGCAGCATCAGCGTCATGAACGAGGTTGCGCGGATACTGGAGATGCCACCAATGCGTGTATACGAGGTTGCGACTTTCTACACCATGTACAACCGGGACCCCGTGGGCAAGTTCCACGTCCAGGTCTGCACAACCGTGAGTAGACACCATGTTTAGCATCGAGGGCAGCAGCTGACAGAATGAAGACTCCGTGCATGCTTTGCGACAGTGACTCCGTTATGAAGGCTTGCGAAGACGTATTGGGCGTACACCACGGCGAGACCACCGCAGACGGCCTCTTCACATTCTCCGAGGTCGAATGCCTTGGTGCATGTGCGAACGCGCCCATGGTCCAGATCAACGACGACTACTACGAGGACCTCACATACGACTCGACAGTCAACCTGCTCAAGGCCCTCAAGGCCGCCGAACAATCTACCGGTGCGCAGCCTGGAGGCAAGGGTCTGGCATCTGGCAAGGGATCGCTGAACGTAGAGGCGGGCGCCGGTGAGGCTCTTGCCAACGAGCAGGGACGCCAATACGCGGCTGGCGGCCTCAAGCTGCCATCACCAGGACCATTGAGCGGAAGGAAGAGCTGCGAGCCGGCTGCTGGATTGACTTGCTTGACAAGCGAGCCCTGGGGTAACGAGACTCTGCGGAAGGACGGCGAGCTATAGAGGGTCTTTGTAAATACTGTAACATTTTCCCTTGCATTCGGAGTAAAGGTCTTGGGGTTGATCTCCCTGTAGACCATCTCAAATGTCATACTAGTTCAACTATTTGCGTATGCAGGTTTTACATGTGACATCTTGCACTCATCACTTCACTGCGCGATTCACATCCAGGTACCAAACACTTCTAGATCAGTGACTCACTGACCAGTTTGTATGACAACTACCAGACACGTAGAATACTATTCATCTATTTACATATCCTGCTTCCATCCTGGTCACTCCATTACTCCACAGTTCCACGACTTCAACAGAAACCCAACAATCACCAAAACCAACATCATGCACTTCTCCATCAAATCCGTCGCTATACTAGCATGCCTCCTCGTCCTAGTCACCGCGACCACAGCCCTCACCCATGATTCCCCTACAACAGTATCAACCCTCCCCTCCCGCTCCATCATCACCACAGACCAAGTCTCAACACCAACAGACATCACCACAGCTGCCAAAAAACGATGCAACATATGCATTGACAAGCTCAACACATGTCACAACGTACGCACTCCAACACCCCCCTCTCCTACGTACGAAGACTCACACATGCATCGATATCAGAAAGGAAAGAAGAGCTGGGAATACTGTCGCGACGAGCAGTGTGAGCACTCTTATTGCTTTTGTCACGGGTGCAAGGGCATGTAAGTATCTACATTGCAATTTGAAGGGATAGTGTAGAGCGGTACTGACGGAAGAACAGTACATGTTCTGAACGTGACAGGGGTTGTGGTGAAGCGCTTGAACGACGACATGGGGAAGAGAGTGACTAGGTGTGCGGCGGGGGCTAGGGGCTAGGGACGACATGTACTACTGTCCTGTTCGCGCAATGGTAACATGCAGATGAGGATAAAGGATGGCATGCGTGAATTTGGTGGAACATGTCCACTCTTCTACACGTCAAGCACCAGTATTGATATAAAGCAGTTCCATTAACCCCAGTTTCCCAGGTCCACCATGAAACCATCTATGTTGTACAAGCCATGCCAAATCATGTCCGCGTAGCAGACTCGAATATGCTTCTATGTATGATGCATGACCGCTCGTTCTTTTTCGGCTCTAGAGAAGAGGAAGAAGAAGGAAAAGTTGCATGTGAATGCTGTGCAACTTGCAAGGACTAAAACCCAGTCAAACGCCTTCGCTGTTATCCATGGGAGGTCGTTCCCAAATCAGACCCCCAGGCCGTGCTGATCCTTCCCAAATGCAATGCTCGTATTTTGTATCAATCGCTTTCGTTGACGTTATACAATGCCACCTGCTGTCGGTGAACGGTTTCGTGTATCTTTCTTCCCGTCGGAAGAGCGCTCGTAATGTGGAGTTTCTTGTCGGTTTCTTCTGCCGTAGTCCGTTTCGACGATGGTGAAGTTGGGACTGTCTGTCCTACAAGAAGCCCGAGTTCCACTTGCCCATGAGCATGTCTCGTGTCATTTCGAAGCTGAGCCAACTGCTAGCCATGCTAGGCGCGACCTTGAGAAGGTTGGGCACAATACCCTTGTACAGACCCCGGAAGCCTTCTGTCTTGATGATCTGCTTGATGGCGTCGCCGATTCCTGCGTACTGGTATCCCATACCACTCATGGTGTTGATCTGGAATCTCCGCCGCAGGACATCGAATGGGTATGTGATGGTCTGCGCAACAGCACCGGAGACGGCACCCGCTCCTAATTTGCCGATGGCACCCGGGTCTTTCTGACCCTCGCGTGTAAACTTCGTACGGGCGATCTCGTACACCATGAAGTTAAGGCCGACATACGGTGCGACACCAGCCACTGTGGGAAGGATGCCACGGTATAGCGCCGGGAAACCACCCTCGGTCTTGTACATAGTTGTAAGCAGTTGCCACATGCCCGGTAGCTTCTGGCCAGCCTCCTTCTTGAGATCGGAGAACGATGCGGACTGGATGGATAGGCGTGTTCGGACGATGTCGAGTGGGTAGGTGAACGTGACTGAGGTAATACCAGCAAGACCACCACAGAGTAGTCGCTGGTAGGCATCGAGAGGGGCACCTGGTTCGCTCTCGAAGAACTAGGGCAAGTTAGCTATGAAACTTTGGGACATACCATGGCCGTCGTCGTCTTTGCAGAAACCTCCGGGTCCTTGAATATCTCCTCCCGGCTCACTTTGAGCTTTCCATCGACGAAGCTTCGGATCCTTCCCCACTTACCGCCCTCTCTCTTTCGTCCGCCCATACCTTCTCCCATCCACCCCATGTTTGAAAAGCAAGTCGCTCGCTGAAATCAAGAACACGCTGAACAGAAGAGGAATAGACGTACCCGCTTATAGACGTTGTATGCGCTGAATTGTACAGCCGAGTATGGTACAATTCGTATGCAGTTGGTGCCGTTTCCGGCCATGAACCCTCTCCATCCTTCCTCCCTCCACATCTTAGCCAGAGCCTTGGGTACTGACATCTTGTATTCCTCGCGACCAACGCTCTGGACTTGGAATAGAATCTTGAGGCGTTCGAGAGGCGATACGACGGTTCGTGAAACTGCGCCAGCTACGCCGCCGGCGACGAAGGAAGCCAGAACTGGCTGCGCAAAGACCTGGCGGACGCGCTGGAGGCTGGTTATGTCGGGCGTGCCGAGGGGCTGCAATGAGGGGTCAATTGATGTCCTGCGACTAGGAATGTTACCTCAACTCACTTTTATGCCCTTGCCCGGTTCGTCGCTCATGATGGCGGGCGGTTGCGATTGCGGCTTCTCGGATGGTTTCGACATGACGCTGTTTGGCGTTGCTCTGAACGCGGCGCTGTTGCTCTAAAAAGCAGGATATTGTTGTCCGGGCGGGGACAAGTTCTATCGACGGAAGGAAAAGGTCGCGCGACGTAGTGTCGAGGTCATCGGAAAATGGTGTTGCGGAGGTGAAGACAGATTTCCGGCCGTACGAGGTGAGCAGGACTTGTCGATGAGCGGTG